ACCCAGGATGGATCGTAGGCAGGCCAGCCTAAATGTTTCTAACCGGCGAAGATGTTCCATTAGGGGGGTCCACGTTTCGCAAGCGTAGAGAAGGGAGGGACTGACCGTGGCCGAGAAGACCTGAAGCTTAGTGCGGAGCGACAGACCAGGTAGCTTCCACACAGCGTTACGCAACCGATGAAAAGATATTGCCGCTCGACTGATTCGGAGTGAGACCTCTGCTGTTAAACTGGAGCCAGTCATAAGCACACTGCCCAGGTATGGGAAACTCTCCACTCTCTCCACAACTGCCCCATCACCGATTGGGAGTTGTGGGGGTGGAGTGTCCGATGGTACAAAATACCCAGGCAGGTGCTTAGTTTTGGTGGGGCTGATGGTAAGGCCCCACCTCTTAGTGGCACGCTCCAGTCTCAGCAGCGTCTCCAACTCCTCCTCTGACTGAGCAGCCATTACCAAATCATCAGCATACATAACGTGGTTGAGCAATAGGGAGCCATCCCTTGACCGCACCCGGGCATCGATTAGCCTCCCATTATATCTGTACCATATGGAGATTCCCCCGGTACAGCTATTGAAGGCTTCACGAACTACGTGGTCAAAATAGATGTTAAATAATGTGGGAGCCAGAGGACATCCCTGTCGCACCCCAAGGTGTACAGGGAATGGCTCTGACTCCCGGCCACGTAGTTTTACCCGCGCCCGCTCACCATCATGAAGGTCCTTAATGATCGTGAGCAGAGGGTCAGGTACTCCAAAAGCACGAAGAACGACCCAGAGCCCAGGCCTACTGATGGTATCATAGGCCTTGACCAGGTCAATAAAGCAGAGATGTAGGTCTTGTTGGAATTCCCTACACCTCTGCTGTAGCAGACGGACAGAAAATATGGCATCTGTGCAGGACCGCCCTTTCCTGAAACCGCATTGGGGCTCTGCAAGCCTCTCCTCAGCGTGCCTGGCAAGGCGATGCTGAATAATCCTTGCCAGGACCTTTCCCGGCACACTGAGGAGTGAGATGCCCCTGTAGTTGTTACAGTCTGTGCGGTCCCCCTTCTTAAAAAGGGGGACCACCAGGGCATCCTTCCAATCCTGCGGAACCCGTCCAGTGGTCCAGACTGTTGTTATGATGTCATATAGGGCAGTCTGTGCACAAACGCCACCCTCCCTCAGCATTTCGCTTAGGAGATCATCTCTGCCCGCTGCCTTTCCTGGTCTCAGACTCCGGATCACCTTCAATACTTCCTCAGCAGATGGCACCTCAGCCAGCCACTCACAGGGGGTGACTTCTTCCAATATTTGAGGCACCGCAGCCTCAGCAGGGTCATCCTCACTTTGTGCCACGATGTTTTCCTGGCTGAGGGATTTTCCCTCCCCCAGGACCTCACAGAAATGCTCAGCAAATCTGCGAACCTGTTCCTGGGGGTCGGAGATTGGATCACCGTTTTTTCCCCTAATGATGGTAATAGGTGTGGTGCTGCAGGTTACTTTTTTGATGGAGTTAAATAGAGATTTGTGATCACGGGCTACTGAGGCAGACTCCACACACACACACACACCTACACACCGAAACACACACACCTACACACTCACACACACAATCATACACACCTACACACACACACATACACACTCACTCACCCACCCACTCACCCACCACCCACCACCCACCCAGCCACACATCCACTCACCCACCATCCACCCACCCACACACCCACTCACCATCCATCCACCCACCCACTCACCATCCATCCTCCCACCCACTAACCCACCCACCCACACACTCATCTACCCACTAACCCCACCCACCTACATACTCACCCACCCACACACCCACTCACCCACCCACCATCCACCCACACACTCACCCACCCACACACTCACCCACTCACTAACCCCACGCACCCACACACTCACGCACCCACACACTCACCCACCCACTCACTCACCCACTTGCCCACCCACACACTCACTCACCCACCATCCACCCATCCACTCACCCACCCACTAACCCCACCCACACACCATCCACCCACTCACCCACCCACTCACCCACCAACTAAACCCACCCACACACCATCCACCCACTCACACACCCACTCACCCACCCACTTACTCATCCACACACTCACTCACCCCACCCACTCACTCACTCACCCACTCACTCACTCACCCCACCCACTCACTCATCCACCATCCACCCACCCACTCGCCCACCCACCACCCACCCACCCACCACCCACTCACTCACCTCACCCACCCACTAACCCCACCTACACACTCACCCACCATCAACCCACACACTCACCCACCCACCCACTAACCCCACCCACCATCCACCCACCCACTAACCCCACCCACACACTCACCCACCCACCATCCACCCACTCACTCACCCACCCAATAATCCCACCCACCCACCACCCACCCACTAACCCCACCCACACACTCACCCACCCATCCACCATCGACCCACCATCCACCTACACACTCACCCACCCACTAACCCCACCCACCATCCACCCACCCACTAACCCCACCCACCACACACCTGCGTCTGTTCCGTGGGTCACCGTTGGTCGAGATGATGCCCTGGCCATCACCGCCGCTCCCTCCACCACCAGCGTTGGTGGTGACGGTGGATGTTGTTGTTGATGTTGTTGTTGATGTTGTGGTTGATGTTGTGGTTGATGTTGTTGTTGATGTTGTTGTTGTTGTTGTTGATGCTGTGGCCGTAGCGGTGTCAGGGGCGGAGAAGTCGGGATGGAGGAGGAGGGGGGGGAGGTCGCGCGAGACATCGTCCTCACGGATGAGACGGTGGAAACTACACACACACAATCACACAATCACACACACACACACATACAATCACACACAGACACACACAATCACACAATCACACACACACAGACACAGACACACACACAATCACACAATCACACACACACAGACACAGACACACACACACACAATCACACAATCACACACACACACAATCACACACAGACACACACAGACACACAATCACACACAGACACACACACACAATCACACACAGACACACACACAATCACACACAGATACACACAGACACACACACAGACACACACAGACACACACAGACACACAATCACACACAGACACACACAGACACACACAGACACACACACTGACACACACACAGTCACACACACAGACACGCACACAAACACACACACACAGTCACACACAGACACACACACAATCACACACACACACAGTCACACACACACAGACACACACAGACACACAGACACACACAATCACACACAGTCACACACACACAATCACACACACAGACACACACAATCACACACACAATCACACACACACAAACACACACACACAGTCACACAGTCACACACAGGAACAGACACAATCACACACACAGTTAGACACACACACACAGACACACACACAGTCACACACACACACACACACAGACACACAAACACACAATCACACACACACACAGACACACACACAATCACACACACAATCACACAGACACACACACACAATCACACACACAATCACACACAGACACACACACAGACACACACAAACACATACACACACAATCACACACACAATCAACAACAACAACAACAACCGCCATTCGCCACTAAGTGGCGGTGACGTCACCACGACGCTTGTGCCAGGCTATGTGCACCCTGAGGCCACGTGAAGTGTCGAACGCCCGCTGGCAGGAGGTCACGGGGCAGACCCAGGTGCCACGGGTCGACTGACTGAGATGACTGGCTGATGCACCACCTGTGCCCCCTACTGTGCCAACCTGCTGTGCTTTAGCCACCCGGCGCTCCGCTCGCTGTTGTGAGCGTCGCTCCTCCGCCCTCCGTTGTTGTTGGAGGGCGACTGCCTCCAACTGCCCAGTAGCATCCTTCACGAGCCTCCTCCACAGAGGCCGATCTTGACACCGCTGGTACCAGTCATCGGCAAGTCCACTCAGCTCCACGTCCTCCTGTACCACATCACTCCATCTCTTCTCTAGCCCGTGCCGCGCCCGCTTAGCCCCCTCAATCCGGCCAAACAAAAGCTGTTTCGGCATGCGGTGGCTGGGCATGCGGGCTACATGACCCAGCCATCGCAGCCTTGCCTGCCGAAGGAGCTCACCGATGGGACCCTGCCCAGATCTTTCAAGGATTTGTGAGCTCCTCACACAATCCAGTCTGGTTAAACCCAGGATGGATCGTAGGCAGGCCAGCCTAAATGTTTCTAACCGGCGAAGATGTTCCATTAGGGGGGTCCACGTTTCGCAAGCGTAGAGAAGGGAGGGAATGACCGTGGCCGAGAAGACCTGAAGCTTAGTGCGTAGCGACAGACCAGGTAGCTTCCACACAGCGTTACGCAACCGATGAAAAGATATTGCCGCTCGACTGATTCGGAGTGAGACCTCTGCTGTTAAACTGGAGCCAGTCATAAGCACACTGCCCAGGTATGGGAAACTCTCCACTCTCTCCACAACTGCCCCATCACCGATTGGGAGTTGTGGGGGTGGAGTGTCCGATGGTACAAAATACCCAGGCAGGTGCTTAGTTTTGGTGGGGCTGATGGTAAGGCCCCACCTCTTAGTGGCACGCTCCAGTCTCAGCAGCAGCGTCTCCAACTCCTCCTCTGACTGAGCAGCTATTACCAAGTCATCAGCATACATAACGTGGTTGAGCAATAGGGAGCCATCCCTTGACCGCACCCGGGCATCGATTAGCCTCCCATTATATCTGTACCATATGGAGATTCCCCCGGTACAGCTATTGAAGGCTTCACGAACTACGTGGTCAAAATAGATGTTAAATAATGTGGGAGCCAGAGGACATCCCTGTCGCACCCCAAGGTGTACAGGGAATGGCTCTGACTCCCGGCCACGTAGTTTTACCCGGGCACGCTCACCATCATGAAGGTCCTTAATGATCGTGAGCAGAGGGTCAGGTACTCCAAAAGCACGAAGAACGACCCAGAGCCCAGGCCTACTGATGGTATCATAGGCCTTGACCAGGTCAATAAAGCAGAGATGTAGGTCTTGTTGGAATTCCCTACACCTCTGCTGTAGCAGACGGACAGAAAATATGGCATCTGTGCAGGACCGCCCTTTCCTGAAACCACATTGGGGCTCCGCAAGCCTCTCCTCAGCGTGCCTGGCAAGGCGATGCTGAATAATCCTTGCCAGGACCTTTCCCGGCACACTGAGGAGTGAGATGCCCCTGTAGTTGTTACAATCTGTGCGGTCCCCCTTCTTAAAAAGGGGGACCACCAGGGCATCCTTCCAATCCTGCGGAACCCGTCCAGTGGTCCAGACTGTTGTTATGATGTCATATAGGGCAGTCTGTGCACAAACGCCACCCTCCCTCAGCATTTCGCTTGGGAGATCATCTCTGCCCGCTGCCTTTCCTGGTCTCAGACTCCGGATCGCCTTCAATACTTCCTCAGCAGATGGCACCTCAGCCAGCCACTCACAGGGGGTGACTTCATCCAATATTTGAGGCACCGCAGCCTCAGCAGGGTCATCCTCGCTTTGTGCCACGATGTTTTCCTGGCTGAGGGATTTTCCCTCCCCCAGGACCTCACAGAAATGCTCAGCAAATCTGCGAACCTGTTCCTGGGGGTCGGAAATTGGATCACCGTTTTTTCCCCTAATGATGGTAATAGGTGTGGCGCTGCAGGTTACTTTTTTGATGGAGTTAAATAGAGATTTGTGATCACGGGCCACTGAGGCAGACTCCATCTCCTCAGCAACCCGCGACCACCACCCATCCTTGCAGCGCCTCACGGCTCTCCGAACCTCCGAGCGAAGGCTGCGGTAAGCCTCCTCATTCTCTGACGTGGGATTCTGTAGCCGATGACAGTGGGCCTGTCGCTTTTTCTCAACCATCGTGAACAACTCCTCTGTCATCCAGGGTGTCTGGGGAGGTCTGGACCGCGTACCCAAAGCAGCCATTGCAGCTGCATGAGTCACAGTCCTAAACCTTGCCCATTTACCCTCGACATCAGGAGGAGTCGGGGACGATGCCAATCCCAGCCGCAAGCGATGATGAAATTCTCGCTTGCAACTTTCATCAGATAACTGAGACCAGGCCACTTTAGGTTGGAATGGGGTCCTGGGTGTACACCCACCACCGGAGTGGAAGAATGGCAGGCGCATCTTACAGATGACTAGTCGATGGTCAGAGGGCAGATCAGCTCCACGGTAGGTCCTGGTGTCAAGGACATGGGCTCGTATTCGCTGGTCCGTCACTATGTAGTCCAGCAGATGTTCTTGCTTGGACCCGGCATGCATCCATGATGTTGTGTGGATGCGCCGATGCCGGAACAGCGTGTTGGTAATTACAAGCCCATGGGCTGCACAAAAATCTAGCAGCCTCCTACCGTTGTTATTGAGCTGATCTGGCCCATGCCCTCCAATCACTCCAGACCAGGTGCCAGTATCATGACCAACTCGGGCATTGAAGTCACCCAACATGATGACTCTATCCCGAGGGGCCACTTTAGCCAGCACCTGTGACAGGAGGTCATAGAAGGCATCTGACTCATCGGCTTTGCCTGCATCCCTCCACGGATGTTCATCTTCGGTGGGGGCATAAGTAACCACGACCACCATTCCTCGCCTCCGGTTGATGGGAAGGCGAGCCCAAAGTAGCCTGGGGCTTACAGCTTCCCACACCTCACCGCCACGCTCCCACGCCCCCTTCATTCTTTTGTTCAAAAGAAGACCCACACCCTGTTGTTTGGCAGTCTGCTGCCCCGAGTAGAGGACTGTCCACCCGTCATGGTGGCAGGAGCCAGAGCCGGTCCACCGGACCTCCTGAATGCCGCATAGATCCAGGCGGTACCGGTCCAGCTCCCGACAGAGGAGTGGCAGCCTCTCCTCTGCAGTGAGCGTTCGAACATTCCACGTGGCCAACCGTAGTGGCTTTTCGTTGTTTCTGGAGTAGCCCCGAGGGTAGGTATTCAATCTCCTGGCTCCGCCAATTGAGGTTTGGCCAGGAGACGTCATAGACGCCTGGCCCCCCGGGGCCTCCGGCACAAGCTTAGTTGTTACATATTTCAGTTTAATTCGTAGTTTCGTGGTAATTAATTGAAGGTGGAGGGGTTACCAGCCCCTCGCACCCGTCCAGAGCCCCCGTTTAGCCCCTGTGGTGGACACATATGCCATGAGGGGAGGAGCCAATCAAAATTGGATCTCCCCCCACAGCGCTGTCCACGACAGAGTTGCCCGTCCGGCACCGCGAGGAGACACACACACAACATACACAACACACAGACATACACACACACAGACACACACACAGACAGACAGTCACACACACATCGCCAACATCGTCACCATCATCAACGATGTTGACGATGTTGACGATGTTGATGGTGAGGATGTTGACGATGTTGATGTTAATGTTGATGGTGACGATGTTGACGATGTTGATGTTGACGATGTTGACGATGTTGATGTTGATGGTGATGATGTTGACGATGATGACGATGTTGATGGTGACGATGTTGATGGTGACGATGTTGATGGTGACGATGTTGACGATGTTGATGGTGACGATGTTGACGATGTTGATGGTGACGATGTTGATGGTGACGATGTTGATGGTGACGATGTTGATGGTGACGATGTTGATGTTGATGGTGACGATGTTGACGATGTTGATGTTGATGGTGACGATGTTGACGATGTTGATGTTGATGGTGATGATGTTGACGATGTTGACGATGTTGATGGTGATGATGTTGACGGTGACGATGTTGATGGTGACGTTGTTGATGATGGTGACGATGTTGATGGTGACGATGTTGACGATGTTGATGGTGACGATGTTGATGATGACGATGTTGATGGTGACGATGTTGATGGTGACGATGTTGATGGTGACGATGTTGATGGTGATGATGTTGATGTTGACGATGTTGATGGTGACGATGTTGATGGTGACGATGTTGATGACGATGTTGACGATGTTGATGGTGACGATGTTGACGATGTTGATGGTGACGTTGTTGATGATGGTGACGATGTTGATGGTGACGATGTTGACGATGTTGATGGTGACGATGTTGATGGTGACGATGGTGATGGTGACGATGTTGATGTTGACGATGTTGATGGTGACGATGTTGATGGTGACGATGTTGATGTTGACGATGTTGATGGTGACGATGTTGATGGTGACGATGTTGATGACGATGTTGACGATGTTGATGGTGACGATGTTGACGATGTTGATGGTGACGTTGTTGATGATGGTGACGATGTTGATGGTGACGATGTTGACGATGTTGATGGTGACGATGTTGATGGTGACGATGGTGATGGTGACGATGTTGATGTTGACGATGTTGATGGTGACGATGTTGATGGTGACGATGTTGATGGTGACGATGTTGATGGTGACGACGTTGATGGTGACGATGTTGATGGTGACGATGTTGATGGTGACGATGGTGATGGTGACGATGTTGACGATGTTGACGATGTTGATGGTGACGATGTTGATAGTGACGATGTTGATGGTGACGATGTTGACGATGTTGATGGTGACGATGTTGATGGTGATGATGTTGACGATGACGATGTTGATGGTGACAATGTTGATGGTGACGATGTTGATGGTGACGATGTTGATGACGATGTTGACGGTGACGATGTTGATGGTGACGATGTTGATGGTGACGATGTTGATGGTGACGATGTTGACGATGTTGATGGTGACGATGTTGATGGTGACGATGTTGACGATGTTGATGGTGAAGATGTTGATGGTGACGATGTTGACGATGTTGACGATGTTGATGGTGACGATGTTGATGGTGACGATGTTGACGATGTTGATGGTGAAGATGTTGATGATGGTGATGGTGACGATGTTGATGGTGACGATGTTGATGGTGACGATGTTGATGGTGACGATGTTGACGATGTTGATGGTGACGATGTTGATGGTGACGATGTTGATGGTGACGATGTTGATGGTGACGATTTTGACGATGTTGACGATGTTGATGGTGACGATGTTGATGGTGACGATGTTGATGGTGTCGATGTTGATGGTGACGATGTTGATGGTGACGATGTTGACGATGTTGATGTTGACGATGTTGATGGTGACGATGTTGATGGTGACGATGTTGATGGTGACGACGTTGATGGTGACGATGTTGATGGTGACGATGTTGACGATGTTGACGATGTTGATGGTGACGATGTTGATGGTGACGATGTTGATGGTGACGATATTGATGGTGACGATGTTGATGGTGACGATGTTGATGGTGACGGTGACGATGTTGATGGTGACGATATTGATGGTGACGATGTTGACGGTGACGATGTTGATGGTGACGATGTTGACGGTGACGATGTTGATGATGACGATGTTGACGATGTTGATGGTGACGATGTTGATGATGACGATGTTGATGTTGACGGTGACGATGGTGACGATGTTGATGGTGACGATGTTGATGGTGACGATGTTGATGGTGACGATGTTGACGATGTTGACGAGACTGACCTTGCTAGCCCAGTGAAGGATCGCGACAGGCCAAGCGGACGAGCGGAGGGCGACGAGGAGGATGAGGTGGACGAGGTGGTGGTGGCTGATGAGGGATTCTCATCCCTCCGCCTGCCCAGCAAACTACAAGGGGAGAAAACATCATCATCATCACCATCACCACCACCACCATCACCACCACCACCACCATCACCACCACCACCACCATCACCACCACCATCATCACCATCACCACCACCACCCCCACCACCACCATCACCACCACCATCACCGCCACCATCACCACCACCACCACCATCACCACCACCACCATCACCACCACCACCATCACCACCACCACAACCATCACCACCACCATCACCACCACCACCACCACCACCATCACCACCACCACCACCACCATCACCACCACCACCACCATCACCACCATCACCACCACC